ATCTTTCAGGTACCTGGGGCAATATTAGAGCTTAAGGTCCATTCTGTAAATAAGAGGAAGCTCTTATTTTTAAGTTTGTATCTTGCAACTCTCAGTAATAAGATTAAAACAAAACTAAAAAGGCAACTTTAAAAAAAAAAAAAAACACATTTTCATTTAAGGCCCACTCAACAGTGCTCAGGGCTGCTCCCAAGATATCGCCTCTACCTAACCACCGTTCTCTGGTGCACTGCGAGGCCAGAGCTTATTATGTTGGCAACAGAGTCAAGACCAGAAGAGAAGGTGTACAGGCTCATCCTGAGCTGCTTCTGAATATTTTATCCAAGGAGTTTAACTAGTTTAGAAGAGGCTTGATAGAACTGCTGAACTCTGACTTCAGACACTAGCAGAATTGTAACCTTAAGGCCTTAACAACCTCTGGTCTCTAGCATGACCAGTAAAAGTTACAAGAGTAACCAGCTGTTTAGCACAGAAAATCCCCTCAGACTGACCAACCCAAAAGACACTTATGAAGTTAAAGGTGCTAGAATAGCACTGCACAATTATGAAGTGGAAATGGGAATACCCAGCCCAAGTTCAGTAAGATCCTGAAACAAAAACTATACTCAGAAGACTTAGCCAGAGGCAAAATACCTGTTTAAGAAAAATCAATAAAAAAGAGTATTTGTGGTAGATGTTTGTGATTAATTAAATGACCATCTTTTGAAAAGGCAATTCTAAATTACTTTCTATTATTCAAAAAATATTGACAGAAGAGAGTTAAACAGACTTTTGATTATCAAGTACTTGCCTTTGTTTTATAAAGCTAGTGACAAACTGCCCAAAAAACAATACAAGCCAATAACAAAATAATAATATTTATACTTTTGCAAGTGTCTGGTGTCGGTAGTGTATTCAAATACTACAATAATTTTTTTTTTCTAATACTTCATGAAGGGTGTTAACACCCCCAGTTTTATAAAGAAAAAAGGGGCATAGCTAGTAAACCTAGAGACTGAAGTACTGGGCAATTTGGAAGAACAAATAGTAGAGAATCTGGGTCCAAATAACTTGCTCAAGATTGCAAGAGCAATCAGTGGCTGAGGGAGGAGCAAAAAGTACATCTCCTTACACCTTAAAGCACAAGAACTTTTCTGCTCCCTACATTATTACAAGTTTATATCAAGTGTACTTAAAAAAAAGACCACAACAACCTGTATTTTCTCTCTGAGAATTGAAATGAAGACAGATATTTAATATTAATAATTTTATGCAAAGGGAAAAATCAATTTCAATGAATTATTATCCATTTTTCTTTTACTGAAGGCTTTAATTTTGCTAAATTTAGTACTCAGTGTTTTTGGGTTTTTTAAGGAAGACTGACAGCTTAACACTTACCAGAACTGCCCAGTTGTTTGTATGCCCACTTTTAAAAAACTGTTCTACTTGATCCTGCAAGAGAAGGAAAATATTTGAGGAACACCTGTGCAGAATGGTTTAGGGGAAAAAATGGGATACCATACTTTGTTGATCTGACAAAATGTAAAACGTTAATCTCATATCACTGTTTTCATTCAGCCTTAAACTCAAACAACAAAAAGTCTACTTGATGCCTCAATACCTGAGGAGACTATACGTTCTATTTAATTGTGGCTGTTTCATCAGAACGTTACACCACCCTGGGATTAGAATTAACACAAACTATATATATCTTAGTATTGGGTATAAAGTCAGAAACACGACTGATACATAAGAACAAAACCAGTTAAATTAATTGAGGAGGTTTTCATGGAAAGAGAGCGGCAGCAAACAAAGGAGAGAATTAGAAGTAAAAGACGCTGCACTCTGCCCAAGAAAATAGGATCTGGGAATAACTAGTTACATCCAGAATCTTTCCATTTAAAAAGTACAGGTTTCCCTTGATTTATGCGGTAAATGAGTTCCCGGAGAATGGCATATAAATCAAATTTGCATAAAGCAATCCCACTTTACAATGTAACAAATAAGGATAGGTTCCCATGGTGATGAGGGAGGGAAGGAAGGAGTGAGGCTGGGACTAGGGAAGGGGCAGGAGGAGGGGTGCCGCTCTAGGGGCTGCACAAGGCAGCAAAGCAGAGGGAACAGAGTGACACTCATCCCAACCCAAGCTGCAGCAGCCCCAGGAGCAGCCCTTGCCAGCTGCCTGCAGCCACTTGGGCTGCACCATGCTCCACCTGTCCTCCCACCCTGCACCTGAGCTCCACTTGTCCACACACACCTCTGCTCCTGAGCTGCACCATGTCCTGGTGCAGGCAGCTGGTGTTGGCTGCTCCCGAAGCTGGTTCAGCTGACTCAGGTGAGTGCAGACAAGCAGAGCCCTGGCTGGCACAGGGTGCAGCACTCACCTGCCTGTAGCAGCTGGGGTGCACTGTGCCTCGAACCACCCAGGGCTCTGCCAGTCCCCACTCACCCCACCCCCTGCTGGAGCGGCCCTGGGAGCAGCTGACACCAGCTGCCTGCATGAGGTCATGGTGCAGCAGGCAGCTGGAGTCAGCTGCTTCTGCCAGCACAGGTTGGGGTGAGTGCACACAAGCAGAGCCCCAGGCGGCACAGGGCACAGCACTCACCCTGCTCCTGGGAGCAGCCGACACCAACTGCCTGTAGCAGCTGGGCTGTACCATGCCCCAAACCCCCTGGGGCTCTGCTCTGGTGTCCGCTACTCCCACGGCTGCTGCACCTGGGGCTGGGGACCAGCGGAGTCCAGGGGGGGCTGAGGCATGGTGTCGCCCAGCTGGTGTCGACTGCTCCTGGGGCTGGGGTGAGTGCCATGCCCCGCGCCGCCCGGGGTTCCATTTGTCCACACACACCCCAGCCCGCGCTGGAGCAGCCGACACCAGCCGCCTGCAGCAGGGCACAGTGCAGCCTAGGAGCAGAGGTGAGTGTGGACAAGCAGAGCCCAGGCGCAGGAGGACAGGCAGAGAATGGTGCAGCCCAGCAGCTGCAGCTCCCGGGGCTGCTGCAGCTGGGGCTGGGGCAAGTGGGACCATGGCCCTTTCCTCTCCCCCCACAGACTTACTGCTGGGGGGAGGGGGGTGTCTATGCTGAGTGCATAAGAGTGAATTTACCTTGTAGATAACAAGTTATGGGTCTAAATATGCTCATTGCATAAGAGCAAATTCACATATAAAGAACCCACATAAAACAAGGGCAACCTGTACTTGGTATATCGCAATTAGTTAAAAGATGATCCCACATGTCATCTGACTTCAGGCTAATAACCAAAGCTGAAATATGATTTAAACATTCAGAATATTTTCTGTGTAACATGATGATGAGTGGGAGAAGAGTAGAATAGGCTCCATTTATTTTTTTAAATTGCATACATTGTTCTATTTCAGAATATGCTCCAAGTACTGAAATGCCTCCTGAGGCCTCAAGGCTTGGATGAATTTCTCCCTTTCATTCTCCCCCATTCCTTTAAATAGCAGATAGGAAAATATATTTGGTACATTTCAATCTGCTTGAAAGTAAAAACCAGATTATCCTAAAACTTCTAGTTTAAAAATATAAAAGTGCTTGTACTGATGACAGCTGGCTCTTATGTAATCCATATTATCCACGATTCAAAATGCGTTACAAAGAGAAAAGTAAGTGTTATTACCCCCGTTTTACAAATGCGCAACCTGGTTCGCATGGAAGGGATGAAATCTACCTGCGATCACAAAACAAACCAGGGATATTATAGGGAACAAGCCTGAATTTCCTGACTCTTAGAACACACTAAACCTCCGAAAAGTGACTGATTGCAAGCAACGTTCTCTGCATAGCCCAGATGCAAACACCCACCAGGAAATTACTGGTAAAAACAGAAGTATATTAAACTGCACTTCCAGCAGTAAATAATCTTGCAGCCTTGAATGGCAACTCGAAGAAGTTCTAAAATTAAGCATATTTAAAATGCCGTTTAGTAATTCCTTTAGCTACTTTGTCACATCCTATTCACCTTGTTAACTGGATGTCATGGAAATCATTGGATAAAGAAAGCTATTTTCTACTTTACCAAAACATTAATAAGTACGGGACTCGGACAACAAAGGGCAGTTGGATTTAATACCTCCCGCCTGTTAAAAAAAAAAAAAAAAAAAGAAAGATATTCACTAAACAAGGCAGAAAGGACTCCCGACTGAGGCAGCATTGGATTAAATGCTTTAATGCATGAAAGCCGGCAGCTCCAAAAGAGGCATGAAAACAAGCATGCTGATGATAGGCCCAGGAGCTGTCTGGGCTGGGAGCGCAGAGCCACGGCGCCGGCGCCGGCGCCCGCGAGAGCTGCTCGGGCTGGCGGAGCCGAGCAGGAAGTCGCTCCCAAGGGCGCAGGC